TTAATGAGTTTTATACAAAACAAACAACTAGATAGAACAGTGTAATTAACCCCATTTTGCTTCTTGTAGTACAAGTCCTGTCTGGAAAATCCTACCCATAAAGGAGATAATTCATAAAAGTAGCATTTATTTAAACTTAAGCTTGGGTGTGTTTGCTGTTGTACAGTTGACTTGAACTTTATGTTTAGTTGGATGTCCTGTAAGATCAGATGAATGAACCAAAAGATGACACATATGGGAGTGTACAGAATTTTATCTTGAAATTAAGCCGAGTTGTAGTTGAGTCACAATCATGACAAAACCCCCTTTTTTTTAAAGAGTTTAACTTATTTAGACAGTTGTTCTCTTGACTTCATCTTTTGATGGGCGGCTGAGTGGTTAGAGCAGTTGTCCTCCAATGCAAGGGTTGGGGGTTCAAATCCACCAGCAGTCACATGCCGAAGTGTCCCTGGGCAAGACACTGAACCCCTCTGATGTGCATCGGTGTATGATTGTGATCTAAAGCACCGATTAGTCTCTTTAGAATAATTTGTTCAATTAACTTTTTTTAGAGATCTAGTAGAGCGCTGTATGAATGGGTGAACGAGGACACAGATTGTAGTGTAAATCGCTTTGAGTAAGATAGAAAGGCGCTATACAAGTACAGTCCATTTACCATTTACATCACGAGCTTTCCGTTTGTCTAGTTTGTGATCGATGCACATTTAGGTTTATGTTGGCATGCTTGAGCAAGTTTTGGATTCGACCCGCCTGTGTGCATCCTTCTTGTGCAATACTGTCCAGCTGAAATGAAGGACCCGAGGACCGTCCACCTGAAAAATGTGACTTGTGCAGCTTTTAAACCCTGCAAATAGCTGACTTCCTACATTCTGCTCAGTGTAGGATTGAGTAACATATATATTATATAACGTATAGTAAAAGTATTGTTTGCTCATAGACTTTATGCCGTTTTGGTTTACTTTACCCTAGTGGTGTGTGCTTCCTCTGCAGGGACTCTGCTTGTTTTATAAAGAGTGCATTTTACAAGCCATGTATCAGCCTTTTCTCTAAAAAGAGAGGAAAAAAGTCCAACTTCTAAATTTCATCCGGAGCACCCCTCATGATAACGCCCTGCGATTTAGCAGACAGATATAAAGCCTCTGTTGTATAGAAACCAGTTTCGTGGCGTTTTCCTTTGCCGTGTTCAGCACAAATCGCCCACGCAGGTTTGAAACTAATCAGGATTTCCATGATTGGACTGTAACATGCTGATCTTATGCGAGTTTAAAAACAAAAGAATGTGCACAGTTAGCTCGGTTTATTCCTTGAAAATTTCACATTAGAATTTGGAATCTTTAAATGTGGAGGAGGTTTTTTTTTTTTCTTGTAAATCATCTAAAAATGTTCGCTTGGAGGCAATTTCCTCAGTTTCTTAGCAATTTTTGTCATTAATGTAACTGTTTTAATTAAAACTATTTTTAAATTCCTTGTTACCCAATATACCCACTGAATGCTAAACTTGTGTGGTTTATTTTTTGTTTTAAGGAAATAATAATGGGGATAAGAATAGTGTCCACCATTGTAGGTTAAACTAAACTCTTTTATTCTACGTTTCTATTTTTTTTTAAGTGCTTTTAATTAAAAGCTTAAGTTTGCCTCAAAGCCCACAGATTTGAAAAAAAAGATTTCCAGTTTGGAAGATTTTTAAAAGTCTACTGGATGAGTGGCTATAGGCAAAGTGAGGTAGAAAATATGCTTTGCCGATTTTTGTTTTTGTGTTTTCAAAATATTTTTTCTAATAACTTTCTAAAAGTACCGATTTGTTTTTCTGCCTGTTGTTTCAAGCGTCAACAGGTAATTCTTAGAGCTCAGCTGAGAGCAGGAACAGGTGGAAGTCAGTCTCTCAGAGGTTAACGCCTCCTCGTTGTGATACGACCTGCTGAGTATATTTTATATAAACCGTTTCATCCCAGGCAGATGCTGCCTGCAGGATGCTTTCAGCGTGTGTGTGTGTGTGTGCGTGTTGAGGATGGCCCTGCATACCCAGCATGCCTAGCAGAGCTATTGCTTTGGTATCTTCCCCAGGGAGATGGGACTTGTTATTACACGGTTCACGCCCACTCCTCTTCACCCTACTGACTCCTGCTGGACACCAGACTGGACAGAGCAACACTGGAAAATAGTGCAGCTGTTCCTCCGATCTCGCATCATACTTTGGATTATTAGGTTTTGTAAATTTGCACTGCACTTCTACTCTTCATATCCTCAGGCCTCCCTTGTTCTTGTTTGGCTTTCAGACTTTTAAAAGGCTGCTGCAATTGTAAAAGGAGCAAGAAAACCCTTTTTTATTTTAATATTATCTTTAGATTAACGAAGTAAATTGAAGAAATAAATGCTCAAACAGAGGCGGTGTGTGCTGCTGCTCTCACTCCTTATGTGTACCATTTCTGGTTTTACGTTTGGTTAATGTATGGCAGGCATGCCAGGTATGCTGAGGAAATGAAATAAAGGTTTCATGACATCAGGCTCTGAACTGGCTTGGCGAGGACAGGAAAGACAAACAAAGACAAAGCTGCTGCTTTCTGCTCATGAAGGAGGATATTGACACGGGCTTCACACAGTGTCCTGCGCCAGTAAACTATTTCAAGACCAGGATAATTTGATCAGTTATAACTTCACTATGTGCCTTTTGAGCTTTAAAACTGAACCAAAACAGTGAGTGCTCTGTTTTCACCTTTCACCAGGCAGCAGTATTCCCCAGATGTTGGCCATTTTACAAGAGGAACAATCTTTAATGGCACAAAATATATATATATTTAAAATGTAAATATATTTGATGCAAGTAGGACTTAAGTACATATACAGTGTGTATATATATATATATATATATATATATATATATGTATATATGTATATACATACAGTAGGGAAACTTGAGTTTTATGATCCAGGATTTCTGAGTACAAAGAGCATATTCAACTATTGAGTATTTTAACCTTGACTTATACGTAGGGATGCACGATATTATCGGCATGATATTAGTGATAAAGTTAAATATCGGACATTGGCCATTCCATCAAAATAACTCCTTCTGTTTTAAGTTAAATTTTAATTTAAGAAACTGTCAAGTATATCTATTAATGCACTACTACTTGTGCGCTTTTCACTTGTCGCTTGCGAACCGGTTGAGTTTTGTGAAAATTTACATATTTGCACTGTTCGAGTGTTGTCATTGTGTTAGAGAGAGTAAATGTCATGAATAAATTTAACATTAAACATAATCCAAGTTGAAGTGTTGCATCATTTTCAGCCCCTTTTTGGCATCTGCACTTGTTAGCAGGCCACATTGACAAAGACCATGTAGAACATGCGTGTCAACTCGAGGCCCAGGGGCCAAATGTGGCCCTCGTTGACATCGTATCTGGCCCCCAAGATGTTATTTTCAATATAAATACTTTAATCACTTTATTTTTTTTCAGTAATCTTTGATTGTGATGTCAAAAGTGTAACAGAGAACATTAATGAGACTAATCAAACTCTTAGTGAGGAACCTGCAACCAAGAAAAGATGTCTGGTGTCTAACTTGAGTTAATGTAGATTCTGAAATTGGCCCTTAGTTTGAAAAAGGTTTTAATTTTTGCCCCCCTTTTGTACGTGGGTTTGACACCCCTGATGTAGAATAATGTAGTATTTTAATTCCACAGCAGAGAAAGTTATGTAGTCTGTGTAAGTAGGTCTAGGAAAAAAAAAATATTGGTATTGGTTATCGACTAAATAAGTTTTAACATATCGGATATCGAAAAAAATTCAATATCGTGCATCCCTGCTTGTAAGCATTCATGTGTGCAGTAAGAAGCCATCATCATTGAAGTCGTGTGTATTTTTAAACAATACTGTGGTTTGAGTTTTAAAGTGTAAACATTTTTACATTTTACTTCCTTTTCTGTTTCTTTTCAGATGATGTTGGTCATGTTCGGGCTGCTGCTGTTACGCTTAATTTTTTTGACAATATTAGTGTTTAGCATAGGCCTGTCGCGATAAACAATAAATCAACTAATCGCATGATAAATGAAAATTATCCACCTCATTTTCATTTATCGGCTTTATCGTTTCTTCGTGTCTCTCTCTTTCTATTGAAGACACTGGATGACAAAAAGCTCAACTCCGGTGCTCTTCACTGACCCCTCCTTTTCTCTTTAAATCCATTTTAACCATCCAAAAGTGTGTTTTTGGATCATTAAAAGTAGCTAAGCTGAGAAGCTAAGCTAACAGGTCGACCTCGGGAAAACCCTCCGTCTTGTCAAAGCTCCAAAATTCACGGTTGAAACCCGTGAGTTCGTGTAAAAAGTTGCTTTTCTCTGCAAAAAGAAGCTG